TCTTATTTTTGCTTCTACCTCTCAGCAGGGGTGCTTTCTCTGCTAGTTCCTGGGTTGGTTTTTCTCTCTCCAGCATGTCTTTCTTGTCCTCAGGCTCTAGCAACTGCATCACTTTCTGCTTCAGCGTTGGGATGACCAGGGTTTGGATTTTGCTCCCAGAGAATCCCAACCAACAGCCTTTACTCTCACACTGCTAATGAAAAATGCACGTGGAACAACCACTGTCACCACAAACCAATAGGATCAAGAAGTATCCTCCTTTGTATCTGCGATGCTGGACACACACACAAACACACATACACACAGAGCGATATCTACATACACCCACACACAGCTAAACATCAACACAGAGCTGTATCCACCAACAGCCACATCCACTAGCAGCTGTGCCTAGCCATCCTCTCAGTCCTTACATAAGTCTGAAAGAGAACAGTGGGCCAAGGCCAAGCCACTGCATGGTAGTTGTAGGCAGGTATGCTTGGTTACATGAGCTTGGTTACATGATATCGGTTGCCATACAGCCGCACAAATAAGGGGGCAAAAGCCTAAACACTTGAGAACTTGAAACTTCAACTTGAGAAGTTTTTCATAAGAGTTTAGCATGGTAGCAGCATACAAAAATCATTGAACATGAATCAATGGCCTTAGTACACACAAAAAACTTGATTGTTGAGAAAGAGCTTGCATGATAAGTCCCATTTAAAATATTGGAAAAGAACCTTAAATACCTCAGGAAAAAAACTAACCAAAGATGAGAAAGATCTACGTTGAAAGCTACAAACACTACAGAGAGACATAGAAGATGCAGACATCTGCCATGTTAATGGATAGATAGAAAAACATAATCAAAATGTCCACTTTGGGGCCCAGCATGATGGCCTAGCGGCTAAAGTCCTCGTCTTGAACGCACCAGGATCCCATATGAGCGCTGGTTCTAATCCCGGCAGCTCCACTTCCCGTCCGGCTCCCTGTTTGTGGCCTGGTCAAGGACAGTCCAAAGCCTTGGGACCCTTCACCTACGGGAGGGGGGTGGGAGGGAGGGAGATCTGAAAGAAGTTCCTGGCCCCTGGCTTTGGATCGGCACAGCACCGGCTGTTGTGGTCACATGGGGAGTGAGTGAAGATCTTCCTCTCTGTCCTGTTCTCTGTATATCTGCTTTTCCAATAAAAATAAATAATTTTTTAAAAATGTGCATTTTTCTCAGCACATGCTAGTGTGTGTGGGAATTGGGCTGGGGGTAGGCCTGTCAGGGGTTCTGGGTTTCACTCCAACAGGGCTGCAGTTCCCATTGATGTGCATGAGAGCTGAGTGTATCGTAGGCAGGGCTGCTCTAGGCCACAGTATCCTATTGGTTTGCATGTTAAGATGGGTATGCAGACAGAACTGACCGATTGGCTGCAACCACCAGTGTGTGTGTGTAGAGGCTAATGTGGGTGATGAACTGAGTCAGACCCGACACTGGCTGGCATAACAGGAGTCAGGTCTGGGGTCATCTCTAGCAAGGTTTTTTGGGAGGACTTCCTCAACAGGACTCAGAATACCAACCACAACCACAGTGAATGTCACAGGATCTGTGTTCTGACCATGCAGTGCAGGTGTCAGAACCAAGGTGCCTCAGTTGCTGAATCCTGTGCAGTGAACAGCATGCCCAGATGCAAATGCAGGACATGACAGATCACAGAGGCCCATAGAGGACGACAAACACCATGAAGGGCAGATCAAAATGAACAGTACTCCTGGCCAAGCTTCAACAGCAGCTAACTGGGCAAGTCCAGACTCCGAGGTAGGACTATGTTGACTTGTGAGGGATTTCCTCAACCTTGTAGCAACAAACTCAACAGCACCTCAGAATTATGAAAACCACTTAAGCAATACTCTTGTAATACACTCCATTATCAGGAACTCTTAGATGAGACTGAGTGGTCATCCCACATCCTGTGTACTGGTGTGTTTAGGCTGCTGGGAGTGGCCCTTTCCTCCTGTTTCCCTCTTCTCTTCCCCCAGAAACAGGAAGACTGGAAGCAGTAGTCTCATCCATTTTCCCCCATTCCTTGACTCCTTCCATCATAATCTGTAGTTCACATTAGTACGGATTCTTCTCAACTATGTATGCATCATCAAAAATAAAATGTATTATGGAAAGAAAAGAAAGGTAAGAAAAACCCTTATCTTTCATTTCATACAAAAATAGTTCTTAATGGATCAAAGATCTAAACCTACACCCAGACACCAGCAAACTATTAGAAGAAAACGTACAATCAGTAGACATAAGAACAGGATACGGGAATAGGAAATCATAGGCATAAGCAGCTAAAGACAAACAGCGGGATCACATCAAACTAAGAAGCTTCTGCACAGCAAGGGAGATGGTCAGTAAAGTGAAGAGGCAACCAAGAGAATGGGAGAAAACCTGCAGTCTACACAGCAGATAGGGGACTAACAACCAAGATCTAAAAAGAGACACAAAAACTCAACAACAGTAAGACAACACTGTTCAGAAATGGGCAAAGGGTATAAGTCTCAAAAGATGAAATTCAAAAACTAAGAACCACATGAAAAAACACTGAGATTACCTAGCTATTAGGGAAATGCAAATTAAAACTACAATGAAGTTCCAACTAACTTCAGTGACAATGGTCCACACAAAGAAAAAGACAAAATAACAATTGTTGGCAAGCCTGTAGGGGAAAAGGCACACAAATCCACTCATGTTGGGAATGTCAGCCAGTACAATCACTTGGGCAGTCAGTATGGAGAGTGCTCAGACAACCAGAATTGATCTACCATATGATTCAGCTATCCCACTCCTGGAACTATATCCAAAACAAATCAAATCTGCATTTAAGAGAGTGAGTGATCTGCAACCCTATACTCATAGTAGCATAACTCACAATAGTGAAGACATGGATCAACCCAGACGCCTGTCAACAGAGGAATGGATAAGGAAATTGTGGTACACCTGCTCAGTAGAATACTACTCAGCCATGAAGAGGAATGAAAGCTTGCAGTTTGCAACAAAATGGTCCCAGCTAAAAGCTACCATGCTTAGGTGAACTAAGCTAGTTTGAAATGGAAAAATATTATTTTTCCCATTGATAATAAAAGCAATATGCAGAGAATAATATATGTATACACATATAAGCAAATATAAAAATCACACATTCATGTATTAAGTAAATATATATTAAATGTGTTAATATATATGAATATATATGTGTACAAGGGAGACTTGTATAGCAGGAAGTTAAGGTACTATGCAGTATGCATCGCCATCTCCAAATAAAAGCAGGACTTCCAATGAAACTTTCCTTTATTTTTATTTTTCATGTTACAGCTCCATAGGCTCAGGGATTTCCCCTTCCAAATTTCCCATCACCTCTCCCCTAATGTTTTCCTCCATATTATTACAATAGTATAGTAGTATAGTCCTTCAGCAACAGTCAGCAGTGAAACTGTTAAAAAAAAAACTCTAAAATATATTGTTTTCTATCTTTGACTATATTTATTGTGTCATGATACATTTAAGTGTCAGAAAGTTAAACATGAAACTTGTACTAGAGACTATATACTATTGTGATAATATAAGAGGAAATGGTGGGAGAGGAAAATGGGAGGGAGATGGAAAGGAATGAATCTTTATACCTACAAAAATGTATTGTGGAAAACAATTTAAAAATCCAGTAAGCAAGTTACAATAGAATTCCTAACGGATTTTTAATATGTAGAACCCATACAACGTGGAAATGACTTTACACATATACAGGCAACAGAAATCACAAGAGAAAATAGACAGTTCTGTAACAGCATTTTTAAAAATTACTTCCATATCTTACTAACATTAATTAGAACAACTTCTTGCACTTAAGTGATTTTAATTAACCAGTTTTTAGTGAAAATCTGAAATCTGCAACTCAGAAAAGGTAACTTGGACACTCACATCACAACTCTATTCCCTGAAAAGAATTGTTAATGTAAAGGAATCTACATCTTAATTTCAGAGTATTTCACTAGCACTCTGTCAGAAAAGTGCTTTTACAGGATTATTACAATTCTTGTTTCCACTGTCACTTCTGTAGGAAATTAGAACTGGCTCTAAGAGAACCAGGGGACCTCATCCTGTGAAAGCTAATGCATTTGGTTTTCAGTCACAGTATCATAACTAGGGGTGCCCTAATTAACTGAAATAGGGCTCAGAGGACTGTTAAAGGAAATCTGAGTCTCCCCAAAATCTAGCAAAGTTTAATTCTCGCTCAGAATACTCATCCAAACAAAAATTCTCTTTGTGAAGGGCCTTACATAAAAGTTTCTCAGTGAATTCCCAACTTCCCAAGACCGGGGCCTTCCGGCTTGGAGTCGCTCTCCTGTCCCCTCTGGAACCACCCCACGGAGCATGAGAGCAATAAATGAGCTACAGAAACTACATTTTACACGGTGGAGCCACCTCGTCCCGTCAACACCCGTCCATCTAAAGTCTCCTTCAGTCCGGGCACGTGGGGACAAGTCGGGGTTTTCCTCGCCAACCGTGCAAACAAGGGCAGCACACCCCCCACCTCCGACAGGTGCGGCCCCCAACGTGACCACAGCAGCTGCTCCTCCCGCCGCTCCCAGCCTACGAGGAAGGACAGGCTGTGGCCGCGGCACCCGAACGAGCAGAGGGACTGGCCTGACCGAGCCTTCTCTCGGGATCGCTGGCGGAGCGAGGACGGAGCCGGTTCCAGCCAGCAGCTGCCGGCCAGGGCTCCGGACCGTCGGCCCCGCCGCCGGGCACGACGCCCACCGGGGCCGCAGGGAACGTTCGACGGCGCCCGCGAGAGGCGTGGCGGCGACGGGGGCGGGTTCGCGCGGGCAGCAAGCCAATCCCGGCGGAGAGCGAGCCTCGGGCATTGTGACGCAGGGAGGGGGCGGGGTGTGGGAGGGTGGAGCTCGAGGGTTGCGGGCGCGCGCAGAGTGGGAGTGAGGCGCTGGGCGCGCACGCGCCTGAGCGCGCGCCCGGTGGGGCGGGCCGGGACTCGCTGCTCGCACGCCCTTGGGCCCAGGCCGGGCGCGCTTTCTCCCTTCCGCTTCCTACGCGCTGTCCGCCAGCCGGTGTATGTGTGGTAATACCATGTCTGCTCCGCTACCCGCCATCGTGCCCGCCGCCCGGAAGGCCACCGCCGCGGTGAGTGGCGGATCCGGGGGCTCCCGCAGGCCCTGTCGGCCCGCCGCCGTGCCCTGCCCCTCGCTGGCGGTGGGCGTCGCGTGCCGAGGTGGGGGCAGTGGTCGGTGCGTCCGGGCCTGCGCGTGGCGGGGCCCTCTGCATTGCGGCGGAGATTCGACCCCTGGATGGGGATCTGGGTCTGAGCCTCCCCTGCCTGTTTCTGCCGGGTTTGCGGGAGGAGAGCAGCTTAATCCACGAGCAAATCGCTTTATTGTCTCGCCTTGCGCTCTTGTCTTAAGTGAAAGAAGTTTGAAGCTTTGATATCTTTAACACATCCGGAGTGCTGATTTTTAGGGAAGTTTGTGTGAGAATCTGAAACTTATTTTTTGGCCCTGGAAGCTCCTATTTGGGATGGGAAGATGTGAAAGATCTGTGAGATCCTGCTGGCTTGGTTGGGACAGACTGCTCTTCTTAGGATCCGGTAATTTGCTGTTGAAAATGTGGACCGGGGACTTCTCCCGTGTCTGTTCTCTGAGGCACTACTGGGTGAGAAGTTGATTCACCCTTTTGACATTTAAAATCGTGCTACGGAGATGAGCTGATTTACCCCAAGTAGCGTCCTCAATGGTGTCTTAGACTTGCATTCCCATTTTTCCACCTGAACCAAGGCTACGGGCAAGGTGTATACCAGTTCTACATAGCTTTATTTAGGCTTTTCATTAATTCCCCCTTCTTCTCTTCTAGGTAATTTTCCTTCATGGATTGGGAGATACTGGGTAGGTACCTTTCTTAGTAATGGTTATGAAAATAGGGTCATGCAGTTCTGTCTACGTAGTCTTTGGTTTACTGATTAAGGACACTATTTAAAGTTGTAGAGAATAGACTTGCTGGACCCTGGGCAGTGGCCTAACAGCTAGAGTACTCACATTGAACGTGGTAGGATCCCATATGGGCGCAGTTCTAATCCCGGTGGCCCCGTTTCCCAATCAGCTCGCTGCTTGTGCCCTGGGAAAGCAGTCGACAACGGCCTAAAGCCCTGGGACTCTGCACCCATGTGGGAGACCTGGAAGAGCTCCTGGCTCCTGGCTTTGGATCAGCTCAGGGCCGGCCACTCAGCCGCTTGCGGAGTGAATCATCAGATGGAAGATTTTCCGCTCTGTCTCTCTTCCTCTCTCTCTATATATATCTGACTTTGCAATAGAAATTAATAAATCTTTTTTTAAAAAGTAGGCTTTCTGCTGATCTTACAGTCTCATAAGGAGATTCAGCCCTTTTCATTTCAAAGCCCCCAAGATTTTTTTTTAAAAGTTGTTTTTTTTTGAAAGGCAGATCAAGTTTACAGAGAAAAGAGACAAAGATCTTCCATTTGCATTTTCATTCCGCAAGTGGCTGCAACCGCCTGAACTTAGCTGATCTGAAGCCAGGAGCCAGTTCTTTCTAGTCCTCCAGGAGGGTCCAGGGTCCCAAGGTTTTGAACTGTCCTCTACTGCTTTCCCAGCCACAGTCAGGGAACTGGATAGAAATTGGAGCAGTCCAGAAATGAACCTGCGCCCAGATGGGATCCCAGTGAATACAAGGGGAGGATTTAGCCACTAAGCCATTGCACTGGGTCCTTACTATTTTTAAGTCTTTCTGGAACACATTAAAATTGCACAGTACTTGTAAGTTGTTTTGGGTGTTGGATGCCAGGAGCGAGTGGAATCTTTAGAGACAGCGTGCAATCCAAAACCTGCTAGGGAGCTTAAAATTTCACAGCAGGTTGAGAAAAACTGGTTGATTTTGCCAAGAGGAAGAGGATCCTGTGGTGCTGTACAGTGAAGCATTCAGTGTTTCCTTGAAAGAGAAATCGGTAGAAGCACAGACAAGCTTTATCAAACACAGTCTTTGGTGCTAACTTGATATGCACAATTTATAGTCTGTCTTTTTTCCACATTGAGAGGTTTTTGTTCTTATATTTAAGCAGCTGATAACTGTTTGAAACTTAGGTATAATGTGAATGTTGTTTAAAAGTGTAGAGTTGCTTTTTGCTGTTTCTAAACACAGAGGATGAAAAGTAGAAAACTGTATCTAACCATCTATCTATATGTGTCGGATTTTCTCTCTACCCTTCCTTCCTTGGCCCACTCTAAGTATGGTCAGTGTGAGTCTGTATTCCTCATCTTGGGAATAAACCTTACCACTTTCTTAACAATTAAAAAAAAGAGAGAATTAGAAGAAAACTGAAAATTTTGATAGAATAACAAATTATATATTTTTATTAAGATAAGGCATTGGGATACAATCATGTGATTTGTTTTAAAGGCAGAGTGGTAGACATCTTCCATCTGCTGGTTTGTCTCTGAAGTGCTCTAACAGCTGGGGCTGGTCCTGTGAAAACCAGGAGCTAGGAACTCCAGCCTGGTCTGCCATGGGGATGGCAGAGACCCGGGTCCTTAGGCCATCTTCCACTGACATTGCCGGTGCGCTATTACAAGCTGGATTGGAAGCACAGCAGTCATGCCTTAAACTGGCGCTTGGTTAGGGATGCAGTTGTCCCAAAAATGGCTTAACCAGCTTTGTCAGAACACTGGTTCATAATAGAAACATGTTGACTAAAATATCAGTGATTGTTTTTCCTTTTTTTTTTTTTTTTAAGATTTACTGATTTTACTGCAAAGTCAGATATACAGAGGGGAGGAGAGACAGAGAAAGATCTTCCATCCCGATTCACTCCCCAAGTGGCTGCAATGGCCAGAGCTGAGTTGATCGGAAGCCAGGAGCCAGGAGTCCTCCTCTGGGTCTCCCACATGGATGCAGAGTCCCAGGGCTTTGGGCTGTTCTCCTCAACTGCTTTCCCAAGCCACAAGCAGAGAGCTGGATGGGTAGCAGAGCTCCCAGGACATGAACCTGTGCCCATGTGGGATCCTGACATGTGTAAAGCAAAGACTTAGCCACTAAACTACCATGCTGGGACCCTGCTTTTACTTTCTGAAGTGCTTGTTTCTTGGATGTGCCAATTGACTTGCTTTTCCTTTTCTTCAGTTGGCCTAAAATCTTTTACAGCAAGCAGGCATTTAGTCTAGAGGTTAAGATTCCCACCTTCCACATCAGAATTTCTGGGTTCAATTCCTGAATCTGGCTGGATTTCAGCATCTGACTCTAATCTAAGGTAGAGCAGGACGCAACAGAGAGGGCTCAGTTAGGTTCCTGCCACTTCAATGGGAGAGCTGGATTGAGCACCAGGCCTCTGGCTTCAGCCCACCTGTTGCAGGCACTTGAGAGTAAACCAGTGGTTGACATCTCTTTCTTTCTGCCTCTCAAATATATTTTTGTTAAATGTCAGAACATTGTGTAGGTGTGTATCTTGGCTATGTTAAGTGGAAAACAGCGTATGTTATGATTTCTTTGCCATAGATAACAGTTTGTCACAGTTGAAATTAATCTTTTCCTCTTTCTTTATTTTGCTTTTCTTCATAACTTTTTGTAAAGGGTTGATATTTGATTTTACTTGAAAATCAAGAGTTAAAGAGAGGAAGATACAAAGAGAGGGATCTTCCATCCACTGAATCACTCTGGCATGTGTATGGTTGCAGTGGCCACGGCTAGGTTGGGCTGAAGCCAGAAGCCAGATGCTTCTTCCAGGTCTCCTATATGGATGCAGGAGCCCTAGGCCTTGGCCATTCTCACTGCATTCGCAGATTATAAGCAGGGAGCTGGATTGGAGTGGAGCAGCCAGGGCTCGAAGCAGCATGTTTATGGGATGCCAACCCTGCAGGCACGGGATTAGCCTTATAAGCCACCACACTAGCACCTCTTCATAACTTTTTTAGTGATTTAATTTGTGGTATATTTAAATCTTTTTAATTCATAATAAGCTGAAAGAATATAATCTGTATTCACAGTTTTGTGATGTCAATGGACTTTTTGAAAAATTTCTATTGATTATTTGCTTTGAATCTCTATTATTTAATAATTTTTTTAAAGTCATATGAGGAGGCTGTTCCATTAGGTTAGAGCAATTGGTCAAAGAGTGTATTTTGGGGGTAAAACTGCTTTATGTGATTGAAACAGAATGAATTTATAGCAGCATATCTTGGGGAAAAGCACAAATTAAAAATGATTAATAATAACTTGGAAATAATACTTTGGGCACAAATAGGATAAACTCAGGAATACACAAGGTTTAGCCTGAAATACAGTTGCACTGCTTTTTAATTGGATTGAAGAATTGGAAGGCAACACTGCAACAACCTCTCTTACTCGCAGATAGTGAGTAACCTACAAGGCCTTTGAACTGCCAGGAATCTATATCTAAAGCTCTTGTGTTTTATCATAGATTTTTCTATCTCTAGCTAAATGATATGTAAGAGCTATGAGAGGAGAAAATAGCCAAAGTATTATGTGTTAGGAACAATGATAAAATTAAATTTTATTCTGTTTCTCTAGTAGCTAGCTTTCAGGCTTTCATTCATGATAAACTTTGTAAGGAGACTTGACTTTGTAAAGTGTAAGGGAATAAGGTTATCGTTCGTCTTAAGCAACCATGTGAAGTCAAGATTTTATATGTACTAATATTCTGAGGAACATTGTTGCACTTGTATTTCATTATGGGTTCTAATAGTTAGTTGGAAATTGATTTTATGAATGTGGTTTTAAGTGGCTGTGCATTCCCAAAGCTATAATTAGCTGAAATAATACCCCGATGTCTATGGCTGATTTAGGCATCCCTGAGGTCATTAACACAATTCCTGAAATAGAAAATACACTGGTGATACACTTAGATATTGAAAAAGATGGGAATTGAAATAACATGTATAATGCATTATAACAGCAACCATGGGAAACATTTTATACTCTAGCTATTCTGTTATCTTTGACCATAGAAAACATTTTATATACTACCTATACTAATATATATTGTATTGGCAGGAGTAACAGAAAGTTTTGGTTTTTAAAATGTTGCTTGGATGACTTTGTTGCAAAGGTCTCTAAAAGCTGTATTCTGCCAGATAATGTCTTGATTGCTTGAACTGTCTGATCTTGGCCAAAGCAGGGAGCTGGAAGGGAAGCCGGGCTGTCGGGATTAGAACCAGCACCCATGTGGGATTCCTGCATGTTCAAGGCAAGGACTTTAGCCGCTAGGCCACCATGTTGGGCCCAACAGAAGGTAATTCCAACTGCAGAATCTGCAATCTAGTCTCAGCCAGCTCATTCTCTGTATTGCTTACTCCCACAGCACTAGAGGCTGCATCGGCACTGAGCAACAGGGATCCCAGCGAGGCCAACCTCAGTCAGTTCTAGTGACTTCAGTAGCAGTGAAGTCAGGAAGTCAGAGGAGACCTCAGCAGTTGGTTTGTAACTGATTTACAGTTCTAAACCCAACTTGGTTCAATCTGAAAAACTATCTGAGTTGGATGTGCTATTTAAAAAAATTATTTTGGGGTCTGGCATGATGGCCTAGTGGTTAAATCCTTGCCTTACATGCGCCAGGATCCCATATGGGCTTTGGTTTATATCCCAACTGCTCCATTTCCCATCCAGTTCCTTGCTTGTTGTCTGGGAAGGCAATGGAGGATGGGCCAAGGCCTTGGGATCCTACACCCACGTGGAAGACTCAGAGGAAGCTCCTGGCTTCGGATCGGCTTGGCCCTAGCCAGCCATTTGCAGCCACTTTGGGAGTGAGTCAGAGGATGGAAGATCTTCCTCTCTGTCTCTGCTTCTCTCTATAAATCTGAGTTTCCAATTATAAAAAAAAAAAAGATTGTATTGGGACATAATATAATCAAGTGACCAAGTCTTAAACATTCAGCTAGTTACATTTTTACATAAACACATTCATATAACCATCAAGACACAGAATATTTCCAGTTCCTCAGAAGTTTTCCTTATTCCTTTCCAGCCATGATCTTCTGTCCCAGAGGTAGCCATTTTTCTGATTTCTATCACTATAGAAGAATTTTTTGCCTGTCCTTGACCTTCATGTAATATGGAACTGCATGGTAGATCTATCTCCAGTTCCTATTACACATTGTATTTTTAAAGTCTGTAAATTCAAACACAATTTCTTATTGACTATGCTATTGTGTAACTGTGCAACTTTTTAAGTAAATACAATCTTTTTGTGAAAAGAATTTTGTATTATCAGGGAACTTCTCCAGTTGTTCATCTTTACTGCTTCTATCCCATTTTGTATGCCCTTAGTCCTGCACTTTGTCTTTGACTCTGTCATTCTTTCTTCCCTCTTTGCTGTATATGTATGTATACTGGGCACTTTAAGGCATGCATGGGAAGATGGAATTAAAAGAAAAGTTTCTTTTGGTGCAAGAAAAGTTGAAAGCCATACATGAAAGAGTCTGTAGAATATCTGTGAAAAAAATGCATGTTATGAAAAAAATGTGCAGGACTTTGAACAATTTTAATGCTGAAATGAACTTCTAATTCTCTTTTTTTAAAGTACCCTGGTATGTGTGTATGTGTGTGTGTGTGTAATAATTACATAATGATTACGAATCTTTTTTTAAACTCCTAAGGTCAGTCTGCAACATGATCGTTTATCTCCTCTAAATATTCCATTGTGCATTCTCCATGCACAAGGATGCTTCTGTGTGGCCAGCACGCTCCAGATTCGGAAATCAGAACTGATCCATCAGTGCTACACAACCCACACACCCCATTCAAATTTGGCCTACCTTCCCAACTGTGTCTGCTTCCTTCCTGGTCTGGGAGCCTTTCCAGGAATATGTGTTAATTTTAGCAGTCATGGCTTCAATCTGAAACAGTTTACCAGTATGCCTTTCATGTTCTTTACAGTTTTAAAGAATACACCTTAATTACATTGTGTGTGTTTTCCCCTGACTGATGCCCATCTACTAGTTCCTCATGACAGGGCTATTTTTTATTCACCCCTTCTCCTCCACTTGTATTCAATTCATCTGCTCATACACATACAGTTCATCTGTTTAAAGTGTGCAGTTGAGTGGTTTTGAATATATGCTTCATGAGTTGCAACTGTCACCACAGAAAATTTTGGAATATTTCATTGCTCTTTCTTCATCATTCCTAAACTTCTCAAAGCCCTGACCAAGGCAACCACTAATCTATTTTCTGACTTTATAGTTTGCCTGTCTTAACATTCCTTATAAATAGAGAAATACATTGTTTTATAACTGCACATAGCATCATACTTTCAAGAGCCATCCATGTTACAGCATGTGTCAAATTATGTTTTCTTTTATTGTGAATTGTTCTTCATTGTGTGGATATGCCACAAGTTGCTTGTTAACCATTGGATGAACCTTTGATCCTTTCCTCGTTGGAGCTAATGGTGCTGCAAACATTTGTGCAGAGGGTATTGTGTGCACCTGTGTCCACAGTACTCTTCGTTAGAGCTCAAGAGGTAGATTGCAAGAGGTAGATACACGTAGAGCCTTGCGTCATGTTCACCCTTTTGAGAACCAGCCAGCTGTTTTCTAAATTGACCACACTGTTTATATTTCGACCAGAAGTGTGTGAGAGTTTTGAATTCTCTCCAAACTCTTTAACATTATATTTTCTTTTAGCATTGTCTTTTATTATCTTTTTGCTTGCAGCCATCTGTTGCATATGAAGTGGTCACTCAGTGATTTTGTTGCTTTTTTCCTAGTGACTAGTGGTGTTGAGTGGGGTTTTTTAAAATTTCTTAGTTGATATTCATGGGAAAAATCAGAAGGCAGTATCAAAAAAGTAACTATTTCTGGCCGAAATGGCAATGCTGATTTATAGTTATTTTCTACATTTTGAAATGTATGTGTGTACCCATACACACAAGGAAAGATATATATGTATGTATATACATAAGAAAATACTGAAGTTATAAGCCTGTAGAGATACTAGATAACTGATTTACTTAGTCATTTTTTTCATGTAAAATGTAGCTATATCATTTGTCTTGACTGTCTCATAGACACATTTTTGCAAAGTTGTAAAGAAAATTTTTAAAATCTGTTATTTGAACATTTTAAACGCTGTAGAAATCTATGAAGATACACGTATTGCTTTTCAGAAACCATAAAACATCATCTTTTTGCCTAATGAAAGCTTAAGTTAACAGTCTGAATTGTTTCCAGGTTTTTAACAATGTTTAAAGTTTGTACATCAGAGAGTCATGTTTGTCCTTAAAAATTTTTTTTAAGTTTTACTGTTACTAACTTATTAGGTGTTAAAACAGTTTCTGACAGTAGTATTAAAATAATTTTCCCCTAGGCATGGATGGGCAGAAGCCTTTGCAGGTATCAGAAGCTCTCATATCAAATATATCTGCCCGCACGCGTGAGTATTTTTGTCATTTTTTGATCCAAACTCTGGAGACAAACAATTGTGATAGCTTAAATTTTTCAGAAAAGCATTTGACTGTAATTAGTTTTTATCTTTGATTTAGTTTAAAAATAAAAATTAGTAAAATTCTTTAAAATGATGCTTAAGTTAATTTTTTTCCTTTTTTTTTTGGTTGCTCTTGTTGAGGAAATTAAAAATTGCTTAGAGGTCAATTGTACTTAAAGCTAGAAAAATTATTACAGATGCACAATTATCTTCAATGTTAAATTTGTGTGTGGGATATCTCTAAAACAGATTTACAGGTAAAGTTTTTGAGAAAGCTTATCATGTTGAAAACAAATTTTGCTAATTTTAGAGGTAGTGAAGAGACACAGAGTTTGGAGACTCTCAGATTTGGTTTTGGGTTCTGGTTCTGCAAGGGTGGATCAAGGGGAAGCTAGTACATTTTAAGCATATTCAGAAAATCAACGAAACTGCACATTTAGGACAGAAAGTTGTTCAGCAGCAAAAGCCATGAAGTGAAAAAGACCAAAGGGTTCTAGTGCATACTGGGTTAAGAAGGTATTAGCAATAGCTGTGAGACAGATACATGAATATGAAAGAGGGCATGGGAAGAACTGTGTCTAGAACATCCTTTTTGTCCTGAAGCACAGTATCTGTCTTCTGTAGACTACAGCTGAGCACTATGGCTTGTGGTGGTTATATCCTCTATTATTCTGATTATATAAGAGACAGGGTTCTTAATTATGGTGAATTTACTATTATATTCTTTACTTGCACCAAGATTGAATTATTCTAAGGCCTAATGAAGTATGCTTTCTCAATGAAATTGTTATATGATTTTTATAATTTATTAGGTAGACGTGTGTCATGCTCCAGCAAGATAATGGTAGGGTATGGATGTAGTATATATGTGTACATGTTCTTGCCTTTTGTATTTAGTTTACTTCTGATCATCCAGCATAGATTTCACCCTACACTTGAATTGCATGCAGTGGACATTCGAACAAATCTTACACTTCTTTACTTATTTAGCGGTTTCTTCATGGAGCAGATCCTTAGTAAAGAAATTGAATCTAAGCAAAAGTATGGTCTGAGCCTGTGGGAATCAGTGTTGTGGTATCTGCGCTCATATCCAAAGCTGCTTGCTTACCAGTCTCCCATTTTGTGCACTTCTAACTTGGTTCTCAGTTGCCCTTCTCGTGTTTGAGAATCTAAAGTGATTAATTCGTAAGGAAGGATGTTAAGAAAGGGAAATGTTTGTGTTTGATAAACTTAGTCCTTCACAGCTGTTGCTGTGTCTACAGGACACATTGGGAGGCATGGAGAGCACGTTTGTTCAGGTGTGTTCATGGCAAACAGCTCAGATGTTCAAAATGTAGCAAACAGTTTTGTGTGAATCTCAAAGAATTATCTTTTGTTAGTGGAATTTGTTGAATTCTAGGCAGTAATATTTTTATTTTCTTGTTCTTTTTTTCTTTCCTACACAGACCAGTTATGCCTGTTACATTAAATATGAACATGGCCATGCCATCTTGGTAAGTAAGAATTTCCTTATTCAACAAAATCTTTTTTATTATGAGAAGTGCTGTTGTGTACCCAGCAGTTTTAAAGTAACTCTTTTTGATTTGCCAAGTGCCATAGTTTAAATGTAACCTTATATATTTAAGGTTTTTTACTTTTGCCTTGGAGATAGAGTTAAGGAGCTATCCAAAAATAGAGAAACGGGAGAGAATGAGTAAATAGAAATGTAGGAAAATATATGCTTTTGTTTATGGGGCTGGTTTTGCAATATAGCAGGTTAAGCTGCCATTTACAGAGCCACTTGCCCCTATGAACTGTAGTCCAGTCCTGAAACTGTTGATGCTGGAACTTTCTCACATTAGAATTTGAATGTAGTTAAAGTGAAAGAAACACATAGAATGACACGTTTGTGATCTCAATGTTTTAGTTTCTGTGGACATTTTAATTTCCTATAATTTCAAGTTTTAGAGAATATCTCTGGTTAATCCTTTTTGTTCATACTGTTGTGAGTAAAGTAAAACACACTTACCAAGAAGAGATTTTCTTAGAATCAATTGGTTTTTTTAAGATTTGATCCTTTTTCCAGGTTTGATATTATAGGACTTTCGCCAGATGCACAGGAGGATGAACCTGGAATTAAACAAGCAGCAGAAAATGGTAAGCACAGGCTATTCCAGAAATACAGGATTATAATGATTCAGGAAATCCTGGGACTCATCAGCTATCCTGTTTATATGATATATGTAACAGTATTTTTTAGAAATAGAAGTATTAATTTGATGTTTTTCTCATATCACTTATTGACTATAGAAAAAAGTGCTGTTATTTTTTTAATAAAAGGAACAATTTGAAACACTGAATCACAGATTGTATCATCTACCTAACAACCTACAGTGAAAACGTCAACTTCTAGGAGCAAATGCTTGTGGCTAATTGAAAAAAAAAACCAAACTGTATAGAAATAGAATTGAGGGCCTGGCGCGGTAGCTTAATGGCTGAAGTCCTCACCTTGCACACACCTGGATCCTATATGGGCACCAGTTCTAATCCCGACAGGCCAACTTCCCATCCAGCTTACTGCTTGTGGCCTGGGAAAGCAGAGGAGGACGGCCCGAAGCCTTGGGACCCTGCACCCGTGTGGGAGATTCGGAGGAGGCTCCGTTCTCCTGGCTTCGGATCAGCACAGCTCTGGCCTGTTGTGGCCACTTGAGGAGTGAATCATCAAACGGATGCTCTAACTCTCTGTCCCTCCTCCTCTGTGTACATCTGACTTTCCAATAAAAATAAAATAAATCTTTAAAAAAAAAAAAAAAAAGGAAAGAAACAGAATTGTTCATAGATGAATGCATTACCCTTTCTTGGTAAAGAGCTATTTAAAAATTTTGTTTGAAGATTTACTTCATGTAGCACCTGAGACAATTTATTGTGGAAGTACGTTCTAATTTTGTGTTTCAAATTTTTCATCTATTTCTACTTTAAATCTAGTTTTTTAACTATTTTTCTTATTTTAAATTATGTCAGTGGACTGAAAGTATCAGTGATTAATTCTCTGTCATTTTTAGTAAAGGCTTTGATAGATCAAGAGGTGAAGAATGGCATTCCTTCTAACAGAATTATTTTGGGAGGATTTTCTCAGGTAAGAAAGTATGAATGTTATGCTGATACCATGAGTATATTTATTACGAAATTCTTTTTTAGGCAGTTTTGACTGATACATTTCCTTTGCCTCTGAATTTAGTTTGGACTGAAGCTAATTAGCTGCTACCACGTGCATCCCTTTGCTGTTCAAGTTGTCGGACTTTTTTGAACAGTGATCTTCACCTTTGCCTTCAGACTCAAGTAGAGTTTGGAATAGTGAATTAAGCCATGCGAGTTATGAGTATTGGCTCCAGTCACGACTGCCCTGCATCCATCCAGACCAGCTTTCTGCTGTTGTGCCTGGGAAAGCAGCAGAAAATGGTCCAGATGCCTGGAGTCCTGCTCCTCGTATGGGAGGCCCACATGAAATTCCTGGCTTCAGCTTTAGCATAGAGTGTATTGTCTTAAAATAACCAAGATGTGGACCCAGCGCAGTAGCCTAGCAGCTAAAGTCCTTGCCTTGCACACACCAGAATCCCATATGAGCGTCAGTTCTAATCCCGGCAGCTCCACTTCCTATCCAGCTCCCTGCTTGTGACCTGGGAAAGCAGTTGAGGATGGCCCAAAGCCTTGGGACTCTTTGGGACTCTACACCTGCATGGGAGACCCAGAAGAGGCTCTAGGCTCCTGACTTCATATTGGCGCAGTTCCACCCATTGTGGTTGCTTGGGAAGTGAATCAATATATCTGACTTTCCAATAAAAATAAAATACGTCTTAAAAAACAAAAATAACAAAGACATGTAGTTAAGTTTCTAAATTAACACAATACGCGTTTTATTAAATGATGTTCTAATAACATTAGATGCTAAGACCTTTGTTCTAAGAGAAAACTATTGCTAAGAACAGTAGGGTAGGAGACCTTATTTATTACATAAAATAGGTTTTAAATGTTAATATGTGATGTTTACTCTTAGCACTATTTTCTTTGTCTTTTTCTCTTTCCTTGTATACTTTCTCTGCAGACACCATCTCCTCACATTGACCTCACATCTTTACTCTGCTTCTCAACTGTCTCCAAGGAACTCAACCCCACAGCACTCTAGCTTCTAATTTGTGAATCTCCTGAATCAATAGCTTAGGATTCAGAATTCTGGAATCATCTAAAAAACAGAGTTCAATAGAAAGAGGTTATTAAAACAATACAGTAAAATGTTATGATTTAGTGTTTGTTGAAATTCACAGATAATGTACATTATAATGTACATGTAGGAACATGAATGATTGATTCACAATGGGAAGTACATGTAAAATTCTCTATCTGTGAGTCATGGATTGCATAGTACAGAAATCAGCTCCTGGCATCTTAAGCAAAAAGGCGTGAGCTGAGTGTGGCATCAAGTCAGGGCCGTGAAGGGTGAGAGAGGCACTGTTTCAAGAAGTGACCCGCACTGGGAAAGCCATCAGGACTTCCTCCCCATCCTTCCTCTCTGTTCGTTTGCCTCTCCATCAAGGGTTGCCCTCTCAGTTTTTGTACCCTTTAACTTTCCCAGTCCTTGAGTTGATGTGAGTTCAGCCACTCAGATATGACCTGCCAGTCATCTGGATCCCAATTCCACAATTCTCTGAGATAAGGAAAAAAAATCCCATGTGGTACAGTGACTCATGTGCACCATCAGAAGAGGGGCATCTAGGTGTCTGAGGGGTATATGTCCCAGAGCACAAGGTGTATTTCCCAGAGCTGTGTGCGCAGGTATTCTGCAGTGTCTACAACACAGCCCTAATTATTCTGAATTCTTATTTTAAAATGCATACTTTGGGGATTAGATTGGATTTTATGCCTAAGACTCTCCAGAGCAGAAAATAGTTACAGATATTCAGAATATTCCTTTCTTGTAAAAAGATTTATTTGTTTATTTGAAAGGCAGAATTACAGACAAAAGGGAAAGATCTTAAGTTCACCGATTTACTCCCCAAATGGCTGTGCTGGCCAAGTCTGGGTCAGGCTGAAGCCAGGCCTTCATCTGGGTCTCCCATGGGGAAGGCAGGGTCCCAACACTTAAGCCATCTTCTACTTCCTTCCAGATGTGTTAGCAGAGAGCTGGATCAGAAGTAAAGCAGCTAGGACAAGAATCAGTGCCCGTGTGGAATGCTGGCATCTCAGATAGCAGTTTAACCTGCTCTATCTTGTCGCTGGTCCCCAGACTGTTCCTGAGGCACACTCTAAGTTCAGAGGACTGTGTTGTTCACTGTATCTTGGCTAATCCAATAGTATGCTCTCTGTGTAGTGAAATGGTGTGGTGTATATAGACCCACCTCTTGTGTGATTTTTTTTTTATTTGACTTTTTAATGGATGTTAATAAAAGAACTTTCTGAAGTTCCTGCACACAGAATATGTGTTCATTAACTTTTCCCGCTTGTATTTCCAGGGAGGAGCTTTATCTTTATATACTGCTCTTACCACACAGCAGAAACTGGCAGGTGTAACCGCACTCAGTTGCTGGCTTCCACTTCGGGTTTCGTTTCCACAGGTATAGTGTCGGATGCAACATGGAATTCCTGGGCTAAAAAGTAACAGATAATGCTGGGAACGGGGCCGTCCTTTTTTTTTTTTTTTTTTCCTTTTTTTCCTTTTTTAATGAAGAAACTTTACTTTTAAAAATGTAACAGGTAGAATGAGGGAGGGGTGAAAGGAAAGAATTGAGAGAGCTCTCACCTGCTGGTTTACTGCCCAGATAGTCATGATTTACTGTCCATGGTTTACTGTCCATGATAGTCAGGGATTGAGCTGAGACAGGAACCAGAAATTCCATCTAGATCTCCCTTGTGACACAAATTGAGCTGTCATGCTGCATCCCAGAGTCTGCATTACCTGGAAGCTGGAGCCAGGAGCCAATGGCAGGTGTCTAACCCAGGCACTCAGGACATGAGTGCCTTCACAGCACGCCACAGAGCCACCCTGGCCTGTACTTTCTTTCTTTCTTTTTTATTATTTTGTTAAATTTATTTTGTTTGCTTGTTTCTTTGTGGGTCTCAGTTTTACATGGTGGGGACTGACTCTGTTTCAATCTGGGCTGGATACTGTTCAGTTCAGAGCAAACACTTTTCCACCCAGGCAGAGGGAGCTTTCCCGAATGGAAGGAGATACCAGACCAAGAGTTCTTTCTCCAGAGATGGGGAGGGCTACTGCAGTCACTCCCACCCAGATGGACCAGCCACGTGCATGCACCAGCTGCTTCCCCAGGAAAAAGTCCAACTGTGCTCCACACACAGGAAACAGAACTCCCGGAACAGCAACACCGCCCCCCAACACTCACTCATGCACACGCACGGGGTCCTCCTGACTGGCTTGTGGCCACCAGCTCCATCTCACTATCCTTCACCAGCCCCATTTCCGCTATAGTGGCCACTAAATGGCATTCAAACTTCGGGCTGAAGAGGCTTGGATCTCAGTGCAGGTTGGGGGAAGGAGGAAAGAGGGAAGGGAAGCGTCCTCAGGGCCCTGGCCTGTACTTTCTAGAGCAGTTTTAAGTTCACAGAAGAACTGAGGCGAAGTACAGAACTGCCAAATGTGTGTTGCCATACACATACAGCCTCCTTCATACTATAGGGGTACATTTGTTACAGTTCATAAACCTGTACTGGAACATCATTACCACCCAGCATTCATAATACATCAGTCAATCTTTTTTGTGTAAGAATCTTCTTAGACTAGGCCCGGCATGAGGGCCTAGACAGCTAAATATTTACCTTGCATGTGCCAAAATCTTGTGTGGGTGCTGGTTTAGGTCACAGCTGCTCCAGTTCTCTTCCTGCTCTCTGCTTGTTGCCTGAGAAAGCAGTAGTGGATTGCCCAAAGCATTGGCACCCTGCACCCACATGGGAGACCCGGAAGAAGCTCATGGCTTTACATTGGCTTACTTCCAGTGGTTGTGGCCACTTGGGAAGTGAACCAGCAGACAGGAGATCTCTCTCTGTCTCTTATTCTATCAATCTGCCTTTTAATAAAAATAAATCTTTAAAAGAAAGTGAATCATCTTAGTCTTTGGTGATAATATTGCTAGTGATTGTATGTCTTTATGATAGCAAACAGAATGTGGTAAGAAATCTTGACATAAATCTTGTATTTGAAGAGTTTGATAGGTCTTAAGCTATATATAGAAATTAGGGCTATTTTTAACACAAAAATATTTTTGGATGTTCAGTGTGTTCTATGTTGGATAGCAGATTTTTGCCATAGAATATAATTCCTATAAATATTCAACAATGAAGTGGTGTACTGCATATTGGAAAAGAGGTGTAAACATTTTCAAATTCATTGGTAAATCTGAGTCTTGGTTTTTTTTCACTTTTTCTTTGCCAAAATATAATGTAAATGCAGATTGAATATCCTTGAATCAAAAATGCTTGTAACTGGAAGTATTTCAGATATCAAAGTTTTTTGGGTTTTGGAGTATTTACATAGACTTCACTAGTTGAACATTTGAATCTGAAAACCTGAAATCTGAGGTATGACTTTGAGAGTTGGAAACATTCTGGATTTCTAGATTGAGATGTTCAGCCTGCAATCACGTATTGTGTGTTCCCCTTTCTAGCTACAGTTTTATGTGTCTAACATATGTTCTATTTGTGTTTTGTTTTGCTTTGTTTTTTGTTTTTGCAGGGTCCTATCAATGGTGCCAACAGGGATATTTCTATTCTCCAGTGCCATGGAGATTGTGACCCTTTAGTTCCGTTAATGTTTGGTTCTCTTACTGCGGAAAAACTAAAAACATTAGTAAACCCGGCCAATGTGACCTTCAAGACCTATGAAGGGATGATGCATAGTTCATGTCAGCAGGTGAGTGTCTAGAAGCAGTAATCAAAGCCATAGAAGCAGTTTTCTTCTGTAAGATATTTTCTTTCCTTTTTCTTTTAAAAGTCTTATCTGAAAAGGAGAGTTACAAAAACAGAAAAAAAGAATGAGATATTCTGTCCACTTGTTCACTCCCCAAATGACTGAAACAGTTAGGACTGGGGTCAGGTTGAAGTCAGAAGCCAAGAGCTCCATCTAGACTTCCACGTGGGTGCAGGGGCTTAAGCACTTGGCTTGTCTCTTCCACTGCATTTCTAAGTTCGTTAGAAGGGAGCTGGATCAGAAATAGATCAGCTGGAACCCAAGGCTTAACATGGGTCACAACACCAGGCCCTTCATGTGGCGTTTTCAAGATAAATAACATTTGCCTACTTGGGGACTTAGAGGACTTAATGTGTGAATAAATTTTTCTTACGTCATTAGATAGAAGTTTATTCAGTTTAGTTGGATTGATTGTTATTTACTAGTCTTATGCATAATTCAAAGACAAATGGTAAACATTCCTTTTATTAGAATATAACAGGTAAAAATTTAGAGCTCCCTGATAATGCACCTGAAAAAGCAGTGAAAGATGGCCCAGGTGCTTCATGCCCTGCCGCTTATGTGAGAGACCTAGATAGAGTTCCAGGCTCCTGGCTTCAGCCAATAGGTGGAAGATCTCTCTCTCCTCTTCTCGCTCCAACTGTCTGTCTTTCAAATTAAATAAACTTTTTTGAAGTTTATAAAAAATGTATGTTTTAAAAACCCTCTGAATGAATTTCAGTTTTTAAATGTCAAATAGCTTTACCTTTTTTAAAAATTTATTTTTGCCCAATGTGGGGGGAGCCTAGTGTCTGAAGTCCTCGGCTTGCATGCACCAGGATCCCATATGGGTGCCGGTTTGTATCCCAGCTGTTCCACTTCCCTTCCAGCTCCTTGCTTGTGGTCTGGGAAAGCAGTCGAGGATGGCCCAAAGCCTTGGGACCCTGTACCCATGTGGGAGACCTAGAAGAGGTTCGTGGCTCCTGACTTTGGGTCAGCTCAGCTCTGGCCATTGTGGCCACTTGGGGAGTAAATCAGCAGATAGGAGACCTTTGTCTCTCCTCCTCTTTGTAAAATCTGACTTTCCAATAAAATATGTAAAAATATCAAAAGTAAAATTTATATCATTAAAATAAATTACTTGAGAGTTAGAAGGAGATACCAAAAGAGATCTTCCCAATAGCTGGTTCACTCTCCAGCGTGGCTGCAACAGCCAGAGCTGGGCCAGGTTGAAGCCAGGCACTCTATCTGGAGCTCCCACGTGGGTGACAATCAGTCACTTGGGCCATCTGCTGCTGCTGCTTCTCCCAAGCCAACAGCAGGGTGTAGTGGATTGGAAGTGGAACAGCCAGGACTTGAACCGTCATCTGTATGGAGATGCTGGCATTGCGGATATTGACTTAATGTACCATTCCACAACAGCCCTGGAAGCTAACTGTCTTTTCAATGTACAATGTTAACCATCTTGGGTAATACTCTGATATGTCTGATATTCTGATTTCTCTTGAATTAACTAATTACCAAAAAATGAGTTTTGCATTGCTTAAAGCACACTATGAATTTGGTTAATGACATTTTAGTGGCAATTTAATTTCTGATGACTGCTTCTTAAACCACTTTATTTCAAACAGGAGATGATGGATGTCAAGCAATTCATTGATAAACTCCTACCTCCAATTGATTGACGTCATTAAGAGGCCTTGCGTGAAAATACACCAGCATCATTGTAGTAGAGTATAAACCTTTTCCTGCACCTGGTCTTGAAACTTCTAATGTTTGCAGTGTTAAAATGTTTTGCAATCATATGCCAATGACACTGACTAAAAGATGTCTCCTCTTAGGAAATTTATATTTCAGTTTATATGTGTATTTGTAAAATATGAACCACAATATACTGGTATTAACTTAGGTGAAGCAGCTAGCTTCCTTTTCTTAACTATGATTTAGCAAAATTATAAAATACTGTAGTCAGATTTTTTTATTTCATGATTTGGAAATTAATAGGTTAAGGAACTTTTGTTCAGGAATAAATGAGCGGTTAAGATATAAAAGATTTTTGCATGCTGTGACTTTGATTGGATTTATTCCAAAATTGCTTAGTCACCATGCACTATCTGTATTTTTATATGTGTACTCATACATGTAATGATTGTAATACATAATAATAAGGAGAAGGTATTACATTATTCCTAACAATAGGGATAATGCTTCTAAGTGTCAACAAAGAGTAATATTTCTCTCTTCAAAAATTAGCCCTTTTATTTTGGGGACCAGCCTTTTCCTTAATGTCATTTCTGTTTAATATTATTTTCTTCTCTCAAGAAAAAAATCAACATTCTTGCTTGATTGTCTTTCATAGCAGTCCAAATATTGCTTTCCTGTCATAGACAGCCACTGTCAATAATGCTGTAATTTGACATTTGAGTCACAGACCTATGATATTTGAAATCTACAGTGTAAAAAAAAAAAAGTAAAATTTCTGTGTAACTTATTTCAATTAACTGTACCTTAGTCTAAACTTAGACCTGTTTAGTGATTAGAATCTTCAACCCAGATAACAAATCATCATGTGCTTTTATTTTCTGTATGCAACTGAAAGAGTAATTAAATTTTATTCTAGTATGTTCTAAAATAGTAAAACAAGTCTAAAAACTAATTTCTGAAATTATTTAGTTTCCTGATAGCATAGTTTGTTTTCTGTGCACTATTGCTACTTTAGGAAATAAGCGATCTATTAGGAAAATGTTTTTATGTGTCAGTGATTTTAAGTTTCATTTATTCAAGTGATTTTAATTATTAGTTTTTTGTGCTGACATTAAAGTGGTAATCATTTGATTTTAAATAGTCAAAAATCCCAGATCACTAACGAAAATTATTGAAAACAAATTTGTGGGTAAGAAATGCTAATCAGATCCATGCTCTGTGGTATAATTACCACACAGTTAATATATAGCAGAAATGGATGCTTGGTATTTCTGAGCTGTATTCTCTTTTTTAATTATTATTCCAATTGACCAAACAATGTTAAGACTGCATCTTCATAAATAGGTGCTAATTGGTAATGAAAATAATAAGTAATAGATTATACAGGATGTTAATTAAGCCATATGTTTATGTCTGGATTAAAAATTTTTAAACAATCATTTACTAAGTCATTTTGCTTTACCTTGGAGAACATGAACTATTGTTTCGGTTCTATCAATCAGCAAGATGTTATTTATGGAAAGAAATGTTTCATTAAAATGATGTGTTGTAATGTAGAAAAATTTCCACAGTTTCTATCAATATGAAATAAAACTTAATTCTGTCTTTGATTATTGCCATGGGATTAATGACAATAATAAAAGGAAGAAAAACAGCAAAGCAATTACAAGAACATACATTCAGAGGTCACGGGAGGCCTTGGTGCAGTGGCTCACTGGCTAAATCCTCACCTTACAAATTCTGCGATTCCATAGTGCTGGATCCAAGTCCCAGCTGCTCCACTTTCTGTCCATCTCCTTGCTTGTGGTGGCCTGGGAAGGCACTGTAGGGTGGGCCAAAGCGTTGGGAACCTGCCACCCATATAGGTGACCCATAAGAAGCTTCTGGCTCCTGGCTTCGTATCAGCTCAGCACTGGCTATTTGTGGCCATTTGGGGAGTGAACCAGCAGATGCAAGATTTTTCTGTCTTTTCCTCTCTATAAATCTGATCTGATTTTTTAAAAGCTCAGAATTCTTCATGATGGTGTGATTGGCTTGAAATAGTAACATTAAAAAAAACCTCATTGCTCTTTCTTGTTAATAATTGTAGTTTCAACATGCATTTAGTGTTCTTTTTTTTCCCTTTTAATGTAATGGATTTTAAATTACTGTCATAAACCAGTTATCCAGCTTTTCTCCTTGTATTTCATAATTGCCTTCTAACTTTGCCGATCTGAATCCTTTCTGTTCTGTTAATTGGTCTTTCAGTTCTGCTTTTGAATACTTAGAGTGATCAACTTAATGTTTTCAATATTTTATTCTATTTTTACATAATCCTAATGGTAATTCTTTACCAAAAACATTGTCTCTAACTTCAGTTCTGGAATTGTCTTCCATATCAGCAACTTATTTTATGTTCCTCATTGCATTTGCTCAGGGATTGATCAAGTTAACAGAGTTGTCTGGTTGTGAGTGTGTAAATAATTGTGAAATGGGCCTGTTGTTGCAGCTGGTCTTCCTGGCAGCTGCTGCTTTGCTGTTTTGAAAGGTATACAATGACATATTTCTCTCTTACGTGTGAGAACAGAGCTATCACATTGAGCCAGGATTTGAACTGATGTGCCTGACTCCATGGTCCTTTTTTTTTTCTGTATACATTTTAAAAAAATAATCTTTCATAGGGTACAAAGGGTCAGGGGCTATAGGAAAGTGGGTAAGACCATTATTTCCACATTTTTTTTCTGTATCTGGGGCAAAGGGAGAAGCCCACTCAGCCTCCCACCCATCCCAGGGTCCCCAATGTGAGGCATGCTCCAAGGGCACTGCTCAAGTGGTTTTGATAGTTCAACAGTTCTGAATGGCTGCCAATCTTGCCTTTCCAAGCACAATGAAATCTCTCCAGAATCCACTAACTGATATAGTCCAACTTCTCCATTTGCCCAGATTTTCACTGCCAACATATGGCTGGGGTAGTAGATTGATTTGTTTTGTCCTCTGTTGTGGTGCCAGGTATCCTCTGCAGGTTCTAATAGACTGTCATATCCTCCATGTGCACCTGTTTATGCTCTCCACTGCTCCGTCTGAGCCTCTGAGGAGGCTCGGCTCTGACACGTGCACTCCATGGCAGACCATGAAACCATGGTTAGGGTTCTGAGTCCAGCAGTTCGATTGAGGAGATCCCCAAAGAAACTTTGTCTGAGGTGTTCCCAGACCAGATTCTTGAATGTACTTGCAAGTACAGGGCCTGGCACAGTCCATCGCCCAATCAGCTGGTGATTGCAATTGCTGGGTCAGTTCTGCTTCCAGCTCTGTCCTCCACAGGAATCCATGGTCTTTTTTGCCTTTTGCTAGAGAGGTAATTTAAATGTTTTAAATACAAAATTTATTTTGTAATATAAACCACCTAGAATTGTTGAGTAAAGTTACCAAGTTTCTAATCATAAAACAATCAGCATTGAGAACTAAAAGAACACTAAAAATTTACATTGTGTACTTAACTTGGGACTCAGATGAATCAGGTAATGTGTGGAAGTGATTCGCAATTAAAAAGCTTTTATGGTTTGTACACAGGTATACTAAAAGATGAAGCTGTTGGAGCCAGGGTGGTGATACCACAGGTTAAGCCACCATCTACAACAATAGCCACTTATGTGAGCACCAATTCAAGTCTCGGTTGCTCTACTTCCAGTCTAGCTCTGTGCTAATGTGTTTGGTAAGGTAGTGGGCAATAGCCCAAGTACTTGGGCCCCAGTCACTCACATGGAAGACCCAGATGGTATTTCAGGTAAAGTGGCTGGCACAGTTGTTCAACATGCTAATCATCTACAAATCTGGAATCCCAGATGAAAACTAGTTCATGTCCCAGCTGCTGCACTTTCCTTCCAGCTCCATGCTTGTGGCCTGGGAATGGCCCAAAGCCTTGGCACCCTGCACCCATGTGGGAGACCCAGAAGAAGTTCTTGGCTCCTGGCTTTGGATCAGCTCAGCTCCAATCATTGTGGTCATTTGGGGAGTGAACCAGTGGATGGAAAATTTTCTCTGTTTCCTTCTCTGTAAAACCTGCCTTACCAATAAAAAATCTCTAAAAACAAACAAAAAATAATAATAACCAAATCTGACACTTAACTCCAGGAAGTCAAAGGAAGCTTGTGTTGACATGGCTGTTTTGGCTATGGATTGGAGCAAGGATCTTCCCCTTAAAAAAAATTTTTTTTTAAGATTTATTTTATTTTTATTACAAAGTCAGATGTACACAGAGGAGGAGAGACAGAAAGGAAGATCTTCGTCCGATGGTTCACTCCCCAAGTGAGTGCAATGGCTGGTACTGTGCCATCCAGAGCCAGGAACCTCTGCTGGGTCTCCCACACGGGTGCAGGGTCCCAAGGCTTTGGAACGTCCTCGACTGCTTTCCCAGGCCACAAGCAGGGAGCTGGATGGGAAAAGGAGCTGCCGGGATTAGAACTTGTGCTCAACCGGGATCCCAGCATTTTCAAGGTGAGGACTTTAGCCACTAGGCTACGGCGCCAGGCCTGAAAAAAAACATTTTATCCTTATTATTCATTATTGAATTGCTCCCAAAATCATGTTTAGGTAAAGTTTACATGCTCCTTTCCCTTAATTTTTTTTTCCATTTTTTTCCCCTTTATTTTTGGTAAGACTATTTATTGGTGAGACTATTATTTTGGTAAGACTATTTATTTTTAGTAAGACTATTGTTTCCACATTATTGCCCTTTTTTTTTTTTTTCTATATCTGGGGTAAAGAGGGAAATAAAGGGAGTCCCTTGAAATAAACTTATCGCTTGCATTTAGAGTTTGTATTTATACTGCTAGCATGGTTGAAAACATATTATGAATTAACATCCAAAATCTTATTACTGGATTGACCACAAAGCACTTGGAAGAGGCAGAGATAAACACTTTGAGACATCTTCAAAATTTAAAATTTGGGGCCCGGCGGCATGGTCTAGTAGCTGAAGTCCTCGCCTTGAACACGCTGGGATCCCATATGGGTGCGGGTTCTAATCCCGGCAGCTCCACTTCCCATCCAGCTCCCCGCCTGTGGCCTGGGAAAGCAGTTGAGGACGGCCCAAAGCCTTGGGACCCTGCACCCGTGTGGGAGACCCGGAAGAAGTTCCTGGATCCTGGGCTTTAGATAGGCATAGCATCAGCCGTTGCGCTCACTGGGGGAGTGAATCATTGGTCGGAAGATCTTCCTTTCTGTCTCTCCTCTCTGTATATCTGACTTTCCAATAAGTAAATAAATCTTTAAAAAAATTAAAATTTGAAGCTAAGAATATTAAATCCTCTTAACAGGATCTTGGGGCCAGTGTTGTGGTACAGTGGCTTATGCTTCCTCCTGTGATCTCTTGTCGACACTGGTTTGAGTCCTGGCTGCTCCACTGTGATCCTGCTCCTTGTTAATGCACCTGCCACCCACCTGCAAGCTGGAAACAACGTTCCTGGCTTTGTCTGGCCAGGTCCTGGCCACTGCCACCAAAAAACAATGAAAAGACCTCAGAATCCCAATTAAGTGACACCATTTGCTTAGCCTAGATGACCTCAAGGCAAGGTCTCCTTGAGAGATGACTATGTAATTGAGGGACTGATAGTTACAATTCTGATCAGATGAGATATAGTTTAGCCAATCATAAGTGTGATTGTGTAATCCCTCTGAACTGTATTAAGACAACTGCGATGTTCTACCTCGGGGTTCTCAACCAAGGATGGCTGTGTCAGTGATGGTTGGAAGCCCAAAGTTGAGTTTCAATAAACTGCCCTTGTGTGCTTGCATTGAAGTCCATTCCTGCTGGTTCATTTAGGGAAGACCCAAAGCCAAGACACCGGAGATGCCAGAGCCTGCTGCGGAGCCAACACCAGGCCTGCCGCCAATCTCTGAATAGAGCTGTAGTACTTTCACAGTGGCTGACACTGCCCCCAGCAGAATCGGGACGCATAAATCAGCTACTGCTTCTGCAACAAGCCGCCACTGAGCTGTAAACACAAAGGCAGCAGCGGGTTGCAGCAGGCATCCCTGAGCTGCTTTGAAGGCTAGCAGTGGGTGGTGGCTGCTACTCCCTGCCAAGGCAGGTCCGGGCAAGACACAGCCATTTGGGGAGGGAAGCACTGAATGGAAGATCTTTTGGTCTCTCTGTATTTGAATAGGCACAGCCTATTGAAGATGTTAATTCCCACATTGATACGCAAATTTAATGTCTATCAGAATTCAGAGAAGACTGTGATCCAGCAGTAGCACTCCTAGGAATATATCCAAAACACCTGTTTCACGAGAAACCAACATGCACCCCTATGTTTATAGTGGCTCAATCAGTAATTGCAAAAACATGGAAGCAACCGAATGCCCATCAGCAGAAGACTGGATAAGAAAGCTATGGTTCATTTACTCCATGGAATACTACTCAGCTGTTAAAAAAAAAAAATGCAGTTCTTTGTGGCCAAATGGGCCCAACTGGAAGCCATAATGCTAAGGGAAATGAGCCAATCCCAAAACGTTAGATACCATATGTTTGCCTTAATTTAAGATGATATGATGTCAATATGAAAAACAGTATATGTAAAATGTAATATTATCTCAACCTCAAACAGCCTATCTCACATGCAATAAGATATTT